CAATTCTCCACAATGTTAAAGTGTAAGGCCTGTGTGTGTGTATCGGCGGCAGAGAGGCAAGGACGCTCGCCATCCATGAACAGTGTCCTCGGTTCGATCCCTGGCCGACGCAGACTTGAAATTAATGGTTGGCCTGCTGAATTTGAGCTGCCAATATCACATGCTGAAAATTCCATAGCTGTACCAAAATACTGTGTAGAATAAGCCACAATAACTGCAAAGTATGAAATTATATGGTCACACAGATGTTATAGGTGATTAAAGAACTCAGGAGGATGGAACAAGTAACCAAGTGGGAACTACATGTCTATGATATGCGGGGCTTCCCATATCTATTAAATGATGAATGCTCCTCCGTCCCCTTGACTAGATATTCCCCGCTTCAATTTCCCTTTGATATCCCTTCGAAATAAAGAGGTTCATGAATACCATTGGCCTCCTACAATATAATGCGTTGTCAGTCGGTAATTTGAGTAATTATTTTGATGGGAAAGTCGGTTTCTGAAGAGGAATACTTTTGTTTAATAAGCATATTAAGAACAAGCGTCCCGAAAAAATCAACGCAAAGAAACTCACTTCAAATAAGTGAGCACTTTCCAGAATTTTCAATCCATTGGAAATTTACGTTTCAAAACTTCTGTAGTTCTGCAGCTTAAACGGCTACCACACCAAACGACGACAGGATACCTAGTAATATGTTGAATTACTGTTTGATATATCGATCTTACAATTCTGTACATCACAACACACACCATACTCGGAACCATTACCATACCTACATGCAACAGACCTGAGTGAGTATTTTAGGAGACTTGCGGCACTGGTACAGACCGTGGCACATTGGATTTACTCACTAATCTACAGCGGCCGTTTATGGACATCTTATCCAAACCCCATTTCATCCATGAGTTCTGCTGGTGCTGACGTGTACATAGAATCAGGTATTGATGTGGTGGTGTGAGACAGACAATGTGTTCCAACAGAATATGATAACAATACATATTTCGTATAAACGAGTAAGATTACATGAAATGCATGCCATTTTTACAGGCACGATCAATTATGTTACAAATTACAATTGTGAATTAGGATAGATTATCACCTTTTCAAAAGTTCAAATTGTTGAATTATAGTACAAGCGATCGAGACAGATTCTTAAAATGTTAATTTATAAATCCTTCACGAATGTCACCGTCGAAGTTGAGCGGCAACCCAAACGTCGTTCCATTTCGTGATGATAGTTATGGCCAATAGATAAACAACATATATTTGAGTGAGCGCTATGCCCCTACGTACCTGAATGCTATTTTAGGAAAAGAAAATCCTGCGCAGCTGCTTAATGGTATAAAATGCAATTATGAATCATAAATTAGTGGAAATATATTTACAAGATAAATGCAAGAAGAAGCTATATAGTACTTGAAATGACAGTACATATTTGCAATGTATGATGCTAACCATATTGGTCTTACCATGGAAAACTGTGACGTTTTCGATGAAAATACAGTTATTCTTAGACATGAAGGTGATGTGTTTCTTTCATCATCAGAGCAACCAAACTTTGTGCGAGCGAATAGTGTGAATGAAAAAAGCAAATTTCACCTTTATTAAATACCTAGGGAGTTGAGATAAAATACAGTATAACAGTAATTAGATAAAAGGGTTGTCGTGAAGTATATAAGTGATATTTCAGAGGGAAGTGGCTTGAAGGATTAGAACCTGTTGAATATACTGACCTGTAATATGTCTGGCGAACTTGTGTATGGCCCGTGGGGTAGTATCTTGACAAGAAATTGGGCAGGCTTGTAGATATTAGGAGCAAAAGCATTATTTTCATAATTTAGATCTCTGCAGTCATTATTCTTTTAGCTGTTTCTTCAAAAATATTTTGAAGCCAATTTTTTTCATTTTGAGGATCTTAACCCATGTTTAATTCTCGAGCTGTCAAAAAAGCATGTTGCTGTCCTACAGATAGCAGCGATTCACATTTGTGACCACTACGAAATCTGCTAATCAGTAGTTCAATATGACACTAGCAACAGGATACGATATATCCATTTGAACATTCTGTTTGTTGCTAGAGTCGGAATATCATTCCCACAGTCCAATTCTGCGTTAGCAACAGAATACTATGTATATTTGAACATTCTATTTCATACCGTTTAATGTTAACCAAAATTACACGCTCAGTGATTCGTCAAAGAATATAAGCTACATATATATAAACAGTGGTTTGATCAGTGAAAAATGTACTTTTCTTCCGTGTCTTGTCTTCTGTAGTTACAATGGTAATGCTTAAAGCCAGCATGTAGTTCATCGCGAATTATTCCCCTAATCAAGAAATTATCCGAACTAGGATCGCTGGTATTAGTCATTCGTAAGATGACAGAAAATTTGCCCCAACTATAAGGCAGTAGCACAGTGAGTTGAGCAACAGATGGAGTGGTACTATTCCATGAAGGATATAGTACCACTTCATTCAATCTATGAGTCACTTAAGTCTATCAAATGCTCACGCTCTGCAAATGACCACAGCGGAAGACTAATTGCATGTAAAATTATTTATAAGTCCTATAATTTAATAGCACTTCTCGGAAATCTTTTGATTTCATAGCCTCCAAGTTCGCGTATTTAGCCTTCCACTGCTTTTGTTTATATTTCAACTTTCGCCAAGTTCGTCACCTTTCGGCACTACGGCGCCGGTGCGAACGGTTTAAAGCGCTCGACCACCACAATGAATAACAAGGTCTACTTACGTATCACAGAATGGCAAATTCTCCGTTACAACTGTATGATTTATTTTGGATCTAATGAAACATTCAATATCCGGCCAAATGGTAGGGTGAAGTCTGAGTTTAACAAAGAGCCGAGTTCTATGTCGAACTGTTTATGGTATTCCTTGTCGGACAGTTTGGTTTCAAAGCTCGATATTGTCGCGCCACAGTTTTCCTGGCATCTTCCTAAAGACTTTAGGATGCCGTGTAGTGGCATCCTCACAATCACATTAATACGTTCCATTACGCTAAGATAATCAGCATACAGTGCCGCCTCCGTCCATAGTAATTACTCGGTCATGAACTCGCTTTTAAATCGTTTGAATTTTTTTATGATTAATGATACGTGTTTGTTTTTCGAAGTTAAAATTGAGACAGATAAGCTTCTTTGTTAGCTGTGAATTCATAACTATGCATGCAATGAGGAGACATCCTTAGTGGACAAATAAAGTATAATTATATTTCAGTGGCTTACACATAATGACAAGTTTGTCTGTAAAACATTGACATTTGATTATACTTTATTTGATCTATTCCAAAATGCTCAACACATTTCACTGACGTTAATCCTTATTGGACATTCTTGATCCTTTTATTTTTGACTCAAGCTTTTCAGGTTTCGTAAATATAACATGTATTTGGTTCGATAAAGTTGTTGAGTTTCTGTGGTCATTCCATTCATCGACTTTCTCACTCTGACTTTTGCGTCTGTTTCAGTTAAGATAATTTTGAATGATCTGTCAGTTACATCGTCGTATACCAGTCAAGCGAGACAAGTTCATGACCCAGTAATACTCCATCATAATAGTTATCAACCCGAAACATCCTACTATCCATTAAATCTAATGGTTCATCAAGAAAAGGCTCAGGTTTCTTATAAGCAAGGGATTTTGATTGTTTATCACTGATCATTACACATAGGTTTCCTGGGTTGTTGTCCACCAGAGCAAATTTGTCTGGGTTGCCACTATTAAATGAAAGCAAAAGTGAAACCGTCTGCTTGGTAAAACTAAAGGAGGCACCACCTGCAATCTCTTTGATTGGAGACTGAACTCCTACCGACTATCTTTCTGCCATAAGTTTACGTATTTGGACAGTAGGGTTATTGTTACCTGCCACTAACTCCCGAATGACGCGGATATTACATAAAGATGGAAGGCATCAGAAATTGTCTAACAACCCATGGCTTTCAACCTCGTCACCTAAGTGAAGCACACTATGAACAGTGAATTATCTTTGCAAAATATAGGCTTAAAGTTGCTTACAAATTCCATCACATCACTCTTCACATCACCGAGGTAACGCATAAAGTGCTTGGCTTGACTTAAAATATAAAGGCTCTTGAATAAGTGGAAAAAAGTTGTTGTATTGAGATAATACTGCAGTAAACTTCAAATAAACTACTCCTAAGTATGATTAGAATACCAGACACTCAGTAGCTTTGCATATTTCAGAATCATTCAGAGTGTAACCTACAGTATCTTCAGCGTTCGTTCTGATATTTCTGTAGGATAAACGAAGTCAATAATAACTGGGTAAAAGGTTACTGAGCTAATGGTTAGTTGTCTGACTATCGAAAGGTGTGCCACTTTGTTCTATCTGACAAAGCTGTTATGCGAAAATGATAAATTTGCGCACATCCGTGAACGGTGCTGCTGGCACTAGAAGTATTCCACCTATTTATGTACACTTCCCTACTGTACTAGCAGTACCACTGGCCTGGTAAAAACCACACATTTCCTCCAAAATAAATTCAATTACCTTCTCTTACTAATCTGAGTGAAGCTGGAGTAGTCGGTGGAGCAGACTGTACCAGAATTCACGAAATAGCGCCGGTAGCACAGTGGTTAGGACTCTCGCCGACCATGCACATGGTCCGGGATTCGATCTCCTGCCGATATCTATGGTCGGCCTGCAAAATTTGGGCTACCGATATCCATGCTGAAAATGCCATACATGTACTGAAAATGCAGTGTGGCATCAAGCTGTAATCAAAAATAAAAAGAATAATGAATAAAACCGTTCCGCAATAACACGAAGCTAGCCAATAAAATCAAAAAGGCTTATAAAACTCGTAAAAAGATATTAAACATAAGATACAGGCAGAAGAAAACCAAAGGTCAGAATTTTAAGTGCGATCAAAGACTAGAGTACGTACAGTCAAATATTATTGTGAAGTACTTTCTGCTTCTTTTGAGCTACTTACACCAACTTGAAGGTTATTAATTATTTTTGCCGCGACTTTCGAAATTGTTCCTGCAGATGTCGTTTGTTGAGTCTGGATTTAGTAAACAGCTTAAATTAAGATGGGAAATAATTCAAGTGATTGACTGGCGACAAGCTGCATAATTTTAGCCCGGAAGCTGCTCAAGGTATGCTGCCCTGATGATGGATGCATCCATCTCCGCCTCTGATTTCATGCACATTTTTAAAATAAATTTTTTTTATTATTTAACCATATGATTACAAAGCAGTTTCATGTCGTTTTAGACAATTATCTGCCTTAGGTTTTGATTAGCCTGAATTTGAGGGGCACGTTTTATCATCTTGATTATAATATAGAGAATGAGTAGATAGCTTTTCCCCAAATAAAAAATTCTTGGCAATTCGGGTTTTGGCTAAGGGTAATTAGGGGATTTTTCGGAAAAAATTTTGTTTCTCAGGAAAATATTATCTGAATTTCCTCGTTAAGTTGCCTCGAAATTTCCCTGAATAAACCTGAAATTCCCTCGAAATGTTTTTACTTGGTCGTAGAACTTCCTATTGATCTCGCTAGAAAAATTATGCTTTTGAACAAAGTGGGGAGGAATTTCTGTTGTTTTTGGACTATTACTATACAAATACAAAATCTTAGTGCATGAGGGCAAACTGGAATAGTTTCTACATAATTTTTCGTACGTCTTTAACTGACGTTCCTTTACTTTTTTACCCTTATGAGTTGTATTATAATTTTCGGACATGTTGAGCACTATTCAGGTGAAATAAACATCTTTGACCAGCCTTCGGTTAGTGTAAGGACAAGTGGCATACTGCTCATGAAAAGGGATAACGTTAGACTATTTTAATTTGTTATGAACTTCGCATAAAGTTATTTATATTTTCTTTTATCATTCTAACTTAAAAAGTTTAGCTTCTTCTATGAGCACCTCACAACCAGTTGGCCAGCAGTTCTGTCTTGTTCGTTCAAATTTTTCTTATATTCACTACGTGCTATTCATGAACTGTGTTATAAAAGCGAGTGGTGCACTAGTTTTTCAGCAGAATGATTTTTACAGTTAGCACATTGGTCCAACTAAGTATCATTGTCCGAGTCCTACACTTTTGTTGTTTTTAGTCATAATAACAAAAAGTATTTTGGTTTTCATGAGATGAGTGAATAAATATGCAACCTTTGTCTATCACACCACTGAAATCTAGGCGAAATAGAATTATAGTCGAATAAAAATAAGAATGTTTCAGCCGAATATTTTGATGCTATTCATATTATGCGACTACTTCACCTATCGTTATCCTTTTACTTCTTATTGTAGGTGCAATAAATTATTTCTTTGTAACAGCATATTTGGCTTAAAAAAGGAAACAGTTGGAGAACATTTGAAGAACCAAGATAAAGAATCTCTACATGACTGAAGAATCCGTCAAAGTACCCACCGCCGTAACAGAATCAACTAAACAACCAAATCAGTTAACAACCGAAGAAGAAGAAGATCGACTACAATGTGAAGCTAATGAAGATAGTACAGGCAGTGAAGATCTAAGGCTGTTTTTAAAGGTAGCTGGCTTTTTAACGATGTGTATTTTAGATAAAGCAATAAGAAGACGTAATTTGTCTGTCTGAATCGTGTAATGTTGTATTTGTGTAACACATTTCGAACAATCTGATCCATCACACACGGACTTGTCATAGGAATATAAATGAAATTTATAAAAACTTAAGAGGGGTGAAAATAAACTACTTAGGTCAAGTTAAAAGGACATATTGAAGGTCAAAATAACAATGAAGATCACTAGACCAAATAACAGAGGTAATAGTACATCTGCCCTGACTGGTATCAAAACAAAATTTACCAAGGGGGGTTTAATGTGATGCCGAATTCCATCATCTGTTGAAAGAACTTCATTCATTCAGAATAGCATATCACTTACATCTCTCTGTAGAAGAGGAAGATAATTGTTTATCTTTCCTGAACATATTGCTTAGTCGACGGCTTGATGGGTCAATGAAAAAATCTATTTACAGAAAACCTACCTGAACAGGACAGGATCTTAATTACCACAGTTTCTGCCCTGTTCAGTACAAAAGAGAAGCATTAGTAAGGTGCCTCTTCAGTAGAATCCTATGTATATGCACTGAAGACACTTGATGAGGAAGAAAGATAGTTGACACAAACTCTGGTTGATAATAATTATCCAGACAAGTTCATCAGGAGATATAAAGCGGTCAGAACACTAAGACCCAATCTTCAACTCGCCCGTAAGAAAGACGTGTACATCAAGCTACTCTATATGGGGCATCATAGCAGCTTGATAACTAGACAAATACTGAACGCTGCTGTTAAAAACACTTTTTATGCAGCCAATATCATAATAATTGAGAATGTAAAGCCAATATATCTATCTAAGCCGTTTGAACATGCGAAAAATGATGTCACATCCCACTGTATTTACCAATTTGAATGTACCTGTCGACACACATACATAGGGAGGACTCATCGATCTCTGGAAGTAAGGGCTGGCTTCAGAGCATATTCCTAAATGGCTCCAGAAACAAATGGAATCTTCAGAATCCATTAATGCTGAGAACAGACGACGACCTAGCTCCCCTATTGCGACACATATTACAGAGGAGACAGGACATAAAATTGACGTTAACACACGTTTTCTAAACCTCTCTATAAAACAATTCGTCATCACACTAAACCTACCTTCCTTGGTAAACTTTGTTTTGATACCAGTCAGGGCAGATGTACTATTACCTCTGTTATTTGGTTTAGTGATCTTCATTGTTATTTTGACCTTCAATATGTCCTTTTAACTTGACCTAAGTCTATTTTCCCACCTCTTAACTCTTTATTAATTTCATACATGTGTATTCCTATGACAAGTCCGTGTGTGATGGATCAGATTGTTTGTAATGTGTTGCACAAATACAACATTACACGATTCAGACAAATTACGTCTTCTTATTGCTTTATCTAAATTCATAAAGGGAACTAATTGTTTTAGATGTGTATTTTGTTCTTTTTTCGTAAAAAATTGATGAATAAAATTAAAATATAGACTATATATATATCGTCATATCTCAGCACATCGACTCAAGTTTCCTTTCACTTTCAGTCAATTAGTTGAAGTCCCAATTTTTATATACTTTTTTGGTATTAATTACGTGCAACTTAGAGTTTCATTAAATACTCGATTTCTAACGCTACTTTTCGTAGGGAGCTGTGGCTCACTGGTTTAAGCGGTTGACTTCTAACTGATGGATTATAAGCTCGAACCCCCCTTCACCGACCTACTACCGAGGTTTGGACAACCAGTTAGTATTATTAGCCTTCATTGTCAATAGGTGCGTGGTTCATTGTATACTGTGCATGAAATTGCAAATGGTTGTTGATTATTATTAATATTATCATTATAAAAACACGAATTTGGTGATTTACGAGCATCAAGAGATTTGAAAAACAAAATCTCATAGTTTGTGCCATAGTTGGGATACTGCTGGAACTCTCAGACGGGAACAGGTGGTTATCTTAAGAGACGCCCGTCGAGACTTTGACTTGAAGTCTGAACAACAACAACAAAGTGGAGCAAACTTAGGAGCCACGTTCTAATGGTCTCCAGTGATCAATGGGTTAATACGCTATTCGGATTCCGAAGTCTATGTATACCATAGATTTGTAATCAGGATTTTCCAGTCCTGTTGTAGGTGTCAGAGGTTCTAATTCTCCCTTTCACTTATGCTTGGAACACCCTACTGCGTGAAGGCAGTAAATAGGACTTACCTTGTTTAAACAAAGGTGCCAAATATGTTCGTGGTGCTTTCCTAGAATATACATCTGCTTTTGACTCTGTCCCTAGGGGCCTTTTATTAAATAAGCTTTCGTTGACGCAAACAGGATCCTGGGCTAAGAGTTGATTGCATTCTTATTTTTCTGATAGAATGCAGTATACTGTATATATATGGCAATTCTTCTTCTGCCTCGCTTACAGAAGCAGGTGTTCCTCAAGGTGCTGTCCTCTCTCCTTTTCTTTTTTCTTTCTTCCCACACGACCTGCCTCATTTAAACGAAACTAACTTTGTCAAATATGTGGATGATCTGACTGTATCACTGCCTATCACTTCCAAGTCTGACTGCTCAAAACTTAATAGCTTTCTGTTGGACATCAGCAAGTGGTCGAAGTCAAATGGTTTTATGTTAAATCCTTCCAAATGTCAGGCAGTTAACTTTACTTTCAAGCATCGACATGACATACATGAACTAGTTAGTTCCCATGATGCCTGTAGCATAGATGGCACAGAAATTGAAACCAAATCAAGCATTAAATACCTTGGATTAGTTCTTTCCTCTGACCTTTCATGGTCATCCCACATCTTATCAATCTCTAAGAAAATGTTTCGTCTTACCTTCTACATTAAAAAGTTAAGACAACCAGGTATCAACTAACCTTTACTTCTGCAGTTTTTAGACTCCTGTATTTTACTTATTGTACTCTATTGTTCTCCATTAATCTTTCCTGGGCTTCTCAGTAAAGACTATATCATATTACGAAGGATATTAAATGCTGTGAGTAGGGCTTGCGGTATGCCACTGCGTGAGCTCGCCAATATTATAGTCGAGAGACGTGACCACATGACAGCATTTCGACCGGACGGTCGAAGTCTATCCACCATCGGCCATACCAGATTGTTTATGGTGGCAAGTGTTATCCACTTGCTTCGGGAAGATTGTTCAGTAACATTTCATTTTTCATTCCCTTTGCAATTATTTCTTCTTCTAGGAATTACACGAAAAGGTGAAGGAAGATCAGCAGCAACAACAGCAACAGCAGCAGCAACAACAACAGCAATTCCAACAGTCACAGCCTTATAATCCAGTTATTCCTTCATCTGGACAACTGCCACCAGCTTATCCAACTGGTGCCGGTGAATTTCCTATTGATGTAGCATCTGCATCTCATTATTCATCATCACAGTGTAATAATTTAAAGGAAGCTGAAGCTGGATTAATAGCCTATCGTGGTCATCCTCCTCATCTGATTCAACCAGGAAATCATGTTGTCCAATATCAAACTGGTCCGGTTATTGATCAAGCCTATCATACATCTGTTGCTGGTAAGTTATTTTTTTATATTCCTTCACGTTCCCAGTAGAACATAGGGCTTCAAGCTAGAGGCTTGAAGTTTCTGTAGCAGTGTTTATTTTTACAGGATGAGGTTGCTAGCCTAATGCCCAACCTTTCCTCTTCACCAGCTCTATTTCTGGCTTAGCGGGGTAAATGAGTGCGTCGGCTGGGGATCGAACCCCGGACCCTGTGCATGGTCGGCGAGCGTCCTAACCGCTATGCCACCGACGCGCTGGTAAGTTCTGCTAGTGTAAATTATGAAACATGTTTGTCGGTAGGTGTTAGGTAATTTTCAAGGTAATATTAGAGAAAATGATGTTCCGTATTATAGCGAATTGATAGAAGTCCGTGACTGATGCACTCCTTTGTGCGTCGGTGGCACAGCGGTTAGGATGCTCGCCGACCAAGCACATGGTCCGGGGTTCGATCCCCGGCCGACGCACTCCTTTACCTCGTTAAGCCAGCAATAAAGCTGCTAAAGAGGAAAGGTTGGGCATGAGGCTAGCAACCCCATCCTGTAAAAATAAACAACACTGCTACAGAAACTTCAAGCCTCTAGCATGAAACCCTATGTTCCACTGGGAAAGTGAAGGAATAAAAAAGAAGATAGAAGTAAGAAAGCAGGGGTTTGTGGGATTCAGAGATAGTAGTTGAACTGTAACTTAGTACTCCTGTGTTTGATGCAATTCCCTCCGCCCCATCCAACCCCCCGTCATCATAAGTTAGCATAACTCTCCTCGTTGATTCTCAATGGTTCTTTTTAGCTGATATTATTTTGTGACAAAATTCACACCCAATCGATAAGCAATCTTCTTATCTTGGGTGGGTTTAATTGCCAAAATTTCAGTGCCATTTATAGACAGTGTTGTAACACTTGATGTTTTATCTCACCTTGGTGCATGTGACAGTTAGTGTGTATGCGTAGAAACCATACGTACTATTGGGAGCTATTTAGCTCACCTAAAGCCACGATCAACTTGCCTAGCGTCTAACATCTACCTGAATAGGATGTAGACACTGATCCTCCGTCTGTAACTGAGATTACAAAGACAGTTTCTAATTTGGGGAAAGGCAAAACAGCAAAACCTGGTGGAACTACACCAGAGGTGTTTAAGGACAGAGGTGAAAGACTGCTGACCGAGATGCTAGGCAACATCTTGGAATCAAGGATAGTCCCGTGTAAGTCATTGATTGTCCCGATATACAAGAAGAGAGACTAGTCTTCCTGTGATAATCACAGAGGAATTAGCTTGAACAATATGTTATCTGAAGTTCTAGGCTCAATAATAATGCGTAGATTAAGTGGTGCTCGAGAAAAACAAACACGAGAAGACCGGGCAGGTTCTAAGCCAGACATAGGGTGTATTGATCGTATATTCAGCCTTCAACAGATTCTCGAACTTAGGCGGATATTTACCGACGTCCAACAATTGCCACATTTCTCGACCTGAAGGCACCATTAGACTCCATCGATCGAGAGGTACTATGTCAATATTTAGCCGTGAAGGGAGTGCCGAGAAAGTACATTGCACTAATCAAGGCACTCTACTTGAAATCATGCAACCGTTTAAGAGCTTATGGAGAGTTGTCATCTGACAACTGTGATGACAACCAGTGGTGTCCGTCAGGGATGCCTACTGTTCCTTTTCCTGTCTAATTTCATCATAGGTATACCAATGGAATTAACCCTAACTGACTTCAGCAACTCAGGGATTAACTTGTTACCAGAGAATAGTCTTGTTGACTTAGAATATGCGGATGATATAGTCCTATTCCTAGGTGAAGACGCTGATCAAAATGCAGAGTCTTCTGAACACACTGAGCAGCAGTCTTAGAATGTTTGGCATGCGATTTGCTCCTGTCAAATGTAAGGTGATTCCACAGGTCTGGAGTACACCAACTTCTAGCTCAAAAAATATGGGGTGAAATGGTACAGCGTGTTGACCACTTCACTTATCTGAGAAGTTGCATCAGCCAGCCCCAACGGGATGATCGCTGAAGAAATCTCCGTATGGATACAAAAGGCTCGTGTGGCATTTCCCAGCCTGTACCATATCTGGCGTAGACGTCATATCCAGTTGTCTATCGACCAAAAGACGTATGTACTACTCAGCAGATCGCTCGGTCCTCCTTTTTGGCTGTGAGACATGGCCAGTGGAAGTGGAAGACATGGAAAGTATTTTGATTGGACACTAGTAACTAGTGCGACGTGTCTAGTCCTTTCTTTGCTGCAGACTGAATTCTATCAGTCAGGTTTGCAATGTGGCCACCATTCTAGGTAGCTCACCATCATGGTGCACATTGATATGATGATGTTTGAGGGTTGGAGGCAATCGGCAGGAAACCTTGGACCACCCAGGTTTCATGCAAGTTGGCACTCACCAGTCAGCAAGGCGTATCTGCAACCTTGAAGGAACTCATGTCCCTTCTGAGGAGATTCGAACCCGCGTCACCCAGTGCTGCAGTCAGAGACGCTACCACTAAGCTATTCGGGCTGGCTCGCAATCGACCTCCTGAAGGACTGTAGTGGGTATTTTGATTGGACACTAGTAACTAGTCTGATTTGTCTAGCTAGTCCTTTGTTTGGTGCAGACTGAATTCTATCAGTCCGAATAGCTCAGTGTTAACGTCTCTGACTGCAGCACTGGGTGACACGGGTTCGAATCTCCCCAGAAGGGACATGAGTTCCTTCAAGGTTGCAGATACGTCTTGCTGACTGGTGAGTGCCAACTAGCACGAAACCTAGGTCGAAGGCTTCCTGTGGCCGATTGTCTCCAACTATCTAGTAAGACATGAAAAGACTAGTTGTTTTTGATCATATGTGTTTGCATTCTATCCAAAATGTTATGTGGTATAATATGGTTAGTAATGTTGAGGTTAGGCGTCGAGTGTTAGTCAAGGAGGGAAAATCAGTAGATAAGGTTGTGCAGGTACATCGACTGAGGTGTCTAAGACATGTGTTATGCATGCCTAACCATCATCTTCCTCGACCAGGAATTTTAGCTGACATGGGTGGATCAGGTTGCAAAAGAGCTAGTGGTGGTCAAATGAAAACATGACATCAATCACTGAAGCCCTTGGTTGTTGGTTTGAACAAGCCATGGCTTAAAATCGTTCTCAGTCGCGCGTATATATTCGCTGTTTGTAATCTAGCGTATCTAAAATAAACCTATTGTTTTTGCATGTTGCCGCTGTTTCTCCTCCATATTTCTGCTTATTGTCGTCTTTTCGAATATCGTTTTTCTCTGTTTTGTCTCCATCCATGTGCCAAATGGAGTTTGGCAAGTTGTGTGCTAAATTCTATGTTGATACCAGCCAGCCAGCCAGCCAGTCAGTCAGTCTGTCCTATTTTTATAATTTATTATTCCAAAAAAAATCACGAACTTGCTACAATACTGGCACTAAAAGATGCACTAATCATTTATATTAGAACAGTACCAACAACAATCTAAGAGAAATTCTCAGGATTTGTTTTCTAATTTAATTGAATTTTAGATTTTCCCGTCGATTGATTAGACCGAAGTGCTGAGTCTCAGGTTGACATGTTGGCCTCTTGTGCAGATACTTCGATGATGTCTGGGCATGTAATTAGAAGTTAATTGGTGGATGGTGACTAGCACTGGAATCCAGGATGTGCATTTCGTCCCATTTGGGACTCGTCATCTGGGTGTACCTGCATTCCGCAGTGAGTGATGATTTTCCCACTGAGGCTATAACCCAGCACTTGAGACCTGAGACCGAGCACTTCGGTCCAATCAATCGACGGACCTGTTGAACAAGAGGTGGCTCATGTGGCCCAGGTGGTCTAATAGATAACGCTTTGGTGTTTGAAACTATGGGCACCGGGTTCGAGCCTCGGTTGGAACAACATCAGTCACTGAGAAATGCAGGTACATCTGGACGACGAGTCCCGGACAGGATGAAACTCGCATCCTGGATTCCACTGCTAGTCACCATCCACCAATTAACTTCTAGTTGTTTTGTGAAGATTAGATTTGTTTTTCGAGTTTCACCACGGATTGATATCAGATAGAGAACCATTGAAAACCAGCCACAGGGAGTACTGGACAGCTGTTTCGTCAACCTAGTTTGGGAATCATTGGCAGTACGCACCCACCCCATTGCCAGGGTTCGAACTCGGGACCTTCCGGTTACAAGGCTATCAAGCTCGTGTACCATTCAGCCACTGAGACCCAACTCCTCAATGTCCTACCCGTGATATCTAACTTCTACCAGTTCGTGTTTTTAGCGCGACTGGCACCAACCAATGTCATCGGTTGGAACTCCATCCTCACTCTCGACTGTATAAACATCACTGTTCGCGACTTCTCACTAGAAGTCCAGGAAACTCCCTCCTGTAGCAGCAAGTTGCTAGCGAGCATCAGACTAATTTCCAAGAGTTGTTTTATAAGGACTAGATTCGCTTTTCCAGTTTGATCATGGGTTTAACCAGTTGGTGCGTACTGCCGATGATTCCCAAACTAGGATGAAACAGCTGTCCAGTACTCACTGTTGGTTTTCAATGTTTCTCTAACTGATATCAATCAATGGGCAAAGTCATAAGATATATGATAATACACCTATAAACCAAATAAGTGAAATAAATTCTTGTAGATAGGTACATTTTTATGGGTTGACAAGATGACACTGACGTTTATTAATTTATTTGATATTGATAATAGCACAAATTAAAGGTCAGTTTTCTTTTGGAGAAAACTGTAATTATATATATATTTTCTGTTAATAAACATAACGTCTATTTTAATTGCCTAATCTGTTTACTTTTTAGAAATCAATGCACAAGATGTTGTACCCGATGGTGGTTGGGGTTGGATTGTTGTCCTTGGATCATTCTGTTGTATGGTATTAGTGGATGGTGTGTGTTTCACGTATGGATTACTGTTGAATCCTGTCTGTCCATATTCTAGTCTACGTGCAATATCACGTGATTGGAAGTCGAATGAAACTGGTCCAATCAGATATCCACGTAGTGATCGTGTTCATCATCCAACTGTCGGGAGTTGTATACCAATATCTGAGCTGGGTGAAGATTTAAATGTACAAGAAAGATCTATTCTATTGACACCTGGTGCTTTAATTGTTGGATTATATTTATTTCTTGGTGAGTTTATAGTATTATCCTCGTATTGTTATTATTATACACCTTTTCGTTTGACTTTACGTTGGTAATGCGGCGGTGATCTGAGGTTCCATTCCCCGTCGCCAATGCACTCCTAGTCCTTGGCTCTGTCTGTCTGTCTATATTCGACATAGAACTTTGCACCGATGTGCAGCAGTTCAAGTCGTCACACTCCCTCCATGTAGCACACAAAGCAAGAGAAGAAAGTAGAAGAAATGCATAATAGAGATAGTAAACAGAGGTGTGAGACAAAGGAATAGTAATATCGAAGAACAATATAATTTCATTGGGTATTATAAGTCACAAGGAGTGGATGCATCTGCGCCAGCCATTACCAAGAACGATTTTGAGCTAGCCATATCACCAATTGTCTCCAACCATTGGCTTTTACCGTGCCGAGGACCCCAACCAGGAAGTCTACATCTCCCTACGTGTCCGGCTTAAACTAACTGTTGTGGATTACATTGACTGACGAGGTCATGTTTTCGTTTGACCATTACTGGCTCTTTTTTAACCTACTACTATTTCAGCTAACATTGCCCGTCGAGGAAGGCATACGATGACTAGGCATACGTAACACATTTCCTAACCATCTCAGTCGCTGTAGCTTCATAGCCATGTCGACTGATTTCCCCCCTTACCTAGCACTCGACGCCTAACCTCAGTATTGCACACCTTATACTCCAGTCCTCGGCTAGGCGGTTGTTGGCCCTGTAAAGAGGGTAGTTTGGTCTAGGTGAGACTACCCCACTGAAACTGGAACTTCATAGCTCAAACTTGAAGCCCTATGTTCCACTCGGAACTCAAAGAAATAAAAATGATAAGTCACAAGTCGACATCAATCAGGGAATTACCGGAAATCTTCCTAATTTGAGACTCTTCAGCGGTACAACCCAACCAAGGGTCGTATCTAGGCTCTTGAGGTCATGACATCATTCATTTGATTATTCGGTACATGGTTTCGAGTTCAGTGAGTGACCCGCTTGTACGTCATTCAAAAACTTGACCAGCAGGTCACGAAGAGCATTTCCGACAGGCTACTGACGACTTCTATCAACAGTTCACTTATCTCGGTACTAACGATAAGATGGTTGGCCAGGAAGCATAAGCAGTAAGAAAATCGAGCAACATATCAGTCAAAAGCCTGTTCTCCAAGAAATATAACTAAGAAACTGGAGATGGGTTAGATATACGCTGAGGAGACCGTTGAGTGACACCACACGCCAGGATAAACCTCGACGAGAACTCCAAGGGAAAACGACGAGTTAGTTGTGGGTCTCAGGGTAACATGAAAGAGTAAGTATGAGGGAGAGGAAATGAAAGCTGATTGGCAGTTATGGAAGCGACTAAGAAAGACTGCAGAAAATCAGGGGAGGGTTGTGCTGCTGAAGCCCTATATTCCATTTGGGACCCAAGGGAATAATAATGATAATAAATAGTATTCAGGTGTTGGTCTGATTAATTACAAAATTTCATCATGAGCTGACATCGGTTAGAGAAACATTGGAAAACCAGCTGGGAATACTGGTTAGCTGCTTCATCCTAGTTTGAGACTCCTCATCAGCACGCAAACACCGGGGGTAGATATCATCTCATGATGAAACCCTGTAACCAATCAAATCCCAGCAAAGCCACACTTGAATATCCATCTGATGCCCACTAGTGACCGGCCTTATTCAGGTAGGTAGTTACGTGGGTTCTAATGAGAGTTCGTGAACATTGGGGTACAGCAGGTTGCATGTGAGGACAAATAGTTGCAAGCGCTGACACTGGCCAGTGGTTACGCTATATCGTGAATTGGCAGAAGTAGAAATTCATAGGCTGGATCGAGTCCCAGTGGCAAAATGGCCTACGAGCTCCCCTTGTAACCACAAGGTCCTGGGTTCGAATCCTGGAGGTGGGTGCACACTGTGAAGAGTCCCAAACTAGGACGAAACAGCTGTTCAGTACTCCGAGGTTTTCCAATGGTCCTCTAACGGATGTCAGTTCTTAATGAAATCCTGTAATTAATTAATAATCTTGTAGTCATTAAGGAGAAGGAGATTGGTATTCAAAATTCCTATAAATTTAACTGAAACCCTTCTCCTAAAAGGAAGAATCTGAACATTGTATAATTTATAGTTGTATTTAACATCGTGATGTTACTGCCTGTCAAAAGTCTTCCTGCTGATTGTTTCCAACCATCTAATAACGACAATTCTGAGTGCATCGTGATGGAGAGCCACCTAGCATGATGGCCACATTGCAAACTTGACTGACAGAATTCAGTCTGCACCACAATCAAAACTTTTTGTATGTCAGATAACCACTAAAGGTAAATAACATCAGGTCAGGTTACATGTTTCCTATCACGATGATCGTGCTAAATGTCGTAAACTGTATCATGCTCTAAATCGTGATGGGTAAGAAGATGGGCATACGTAGGATCGACAGTAGACCCTAGAAGATATGGAATTCACGGTTGAGTAATTTCTCATATATCACTAACTCAAAGATTTACAAGCAAAAGCCAGCAAGTTGACGGAAGAGGAGTAATATAAACGCGATAATAATGCTGCTGTCCAGGTTCAGTAATGTCATTCGAAATTCGTCACATCGCCTGTCGTGCAACGACAATCTCCGTACATGCACCGAAGACACATTGAATAACGAGTTGGAATGCTTCAGAAAACCCTAATCAAAAATAGATATCCAGCCTCCTTCATCGATAAACATCTAGAGAAAAAGATCAATACTCTTCCAAACCTGGATATTGCCAAAGTAATAATTAATGGTAAATCTGAAATCCAAGGGAAATACTGTTAGTGAGGTACTGCAAAACCGCCTGTCGAGAACTATTCGAAAGATGTCCTTTGCTGCCTCTCTGTGCCTCACCTCCTCCATATATGCTCTTATTCATATAAACGTCAAAGGCAAGATCCCTCTGTTGGCAACTTCATTGTGGAGCTAAGTACCTAGGCCTTACCAGCAGGACATTATCTAGACATACCCATGAACACTTACCAATATGGTTGTCAAAATGAGAACGTAGAACAGTTAACAGCTCAATTCTGGAGCACATTACTACCTCTGGTCATGCAGCATCATTAGAGACTTGTTTTAGAGTCATATATAAAGTACGACCAAGTCTCTCGAAAGGAT